TAAACCAAGCATGATGTCCTTCTCCAAGGACTGGTCTCTCCTGATAACATGTCCAAACTATATGAGACGAAGTCTTGCCATCTTCACTTCCAAGAAGCATTCTGGGATATGATATTAAAAAACAAAATCAAAAACCTGTTGCCACTGAGTTGATTCTGACTGAAAGCAACCCTGTAGGACAGAGTATAACTGCCCCGTAGGGTTTCCAGGGAGTAGCTGGTGGATTCGAACTGTCGACCTCTTGGTTAGCAGCTGAGCTCTTAACCACTACGAGTATGATATTACAGAGGTAAAAAATGGTGATTTGGAATTCCCATTGTTGGTGGTTATTGTGGCATAAATAGGTGCATGGGGTAGGGTCAAGTTGTCCTGGGAAGCTTCTCTTGGCTCTGACAACCTCAGCCTTCTCTCTTTTCTCTTTTTTATAATTTATTTTATTTTTGTTGTTGAGAATATACACAGCAGAACATACACCAATTCAACAATTTCTGCATGTGTAATTCAGTAACACTGATTACATTTTTCAAGTTGTGCAACCATTCTCACCCTGCTTTTCCAAGTTGTTCCTCCCCCATTAACATAAACTCACTGCCCCCTAAGTGTCCATCTAGTCTTTTGAGTTGCTGTTGTCTATTTGATCCCGTATAGATAGTTCTTAATAGAGCACAACACTCAAGGGAGACATTCTTTACTAGTTAAGCTAACTATTGTTTGTTTTTAAGAAGACTTCAGGGGATATTTTTGTTTTAAGGTTTGAAGCTTAAAGATTTTCTCAGGACAACAGTTTCTGGGGCTCATCCAGCCTCAATGGTTCCAGAAAATCTGGATTCCATGAGAATTTGAAATTCTCTTCAGCATTTTCTCCACTTTTGATCAGGATTCTTCTATCCCAGCCATCTCTTGATTCAGTAGCCAGCAGGATAAGACCTCCCTGCTGAGCCTCTGATCTGCCAAAATTCCCTACAGCCTTTTGTCCTTGGTAGTCTCTCAGACTTCTGCAGCTTTTAAGACCCCAAGAATTATAGGGAGTGTTTGGGGAGTGGCCATACCTTTGACTCCACCTGTAGAAAAAATAACTCCCATTTCTTGAGTCCTCATTTATTTGTGACAGCTGGGAATATCCCAAAGAGCAGGCTGGGATCAGAGGATTGAGGATTTGCTGTTGGGTCTCCATAACACAAACAATTTTTCTATAGGTGAAAACAATTTATTGATATACATTGTGTATATAACCTTCCACTTTGGATGTTTTCTAGTCCCTGCCTCACATCTGAAGTCCTTGAAAGTAGAAACCAGGCCATGTCTCTGAATCAGAATAGCATCCAGCCCAGTGCCACTTCTGTGTATGGGCTCCAAGGCCTGCTAGGCTGTGAACTCCAGAACAGAGACCATGTCTCTGAACATTGTCATTCCCTAGTATCTAGCTCAGTGTCTGACATACAGTGATCATTTCAATAAACTTGTGATCAGTGAATTAATTAATGACAATGATGTTGATAAGGATGACAGTGGGGACAGTGACAAAGGTTTTCTTGCAACACAGGAAGGTGCTTTGCAACACAAGGCATCTCCCCTTAGCAGCACACAACCTGCCCCAAAGCCATGACTTCTTTCATTGAAGGAAACAGACGGGTTGATCTTCAGATGAGGTCCTTATCCTCCCATCATGCCTATGCCAGAGAAGCTATCAGTGATAGAGAAGGGAATAAGAGACAGCTGGTTGGGCATGATACCTGGTAAGGAGAGGACTGGGTTCTCCCCTGCATGCCTGCCTTCTCACTCCTTCAGCTGGAGCCAACTTTAGTGTCTTTTGCCAGCAACTTATTTATCAGGAAAGACCATGTCTCTCTGGACTCAGAAGATCCAGTTCTTCAGCTGGGCCACCTCCACTGGCTCTTCCTTCCCTCTCCAGGCCCTCAATTCCTGGTACCTTGGCTTTAGAGCAGAAGGTTTAAGTCCCATGTCCTTGGGACCACCCACATTACTCCTCTCTTCAAGGGAAGAATGCATCTGAACAATATTTCATTTTATCTTTAGAATGACTGTGTGAGGTTGATAGAGCAGGAGTGATTCTGGCACAGAGAGTTGAAACCACTTGCCCAAAGTATTTAAAGATCCCTCATCTCAGGGCTTTTGCCCCTAACACATACTGTGTGGCTCAACCAATAAAAGCCATTCATCATCTCATAAGACTGCCTGAGAATTTATAGAAAAAAAAAAACAACTCATTGCCGTTGAGTCAATTCCGACTCATAGTGACCCTACAGGACAGAGTAGCACTGCCCCATAGGGTTTCCAAGGCACAACTGGTGGATTAGAACTGCTGACCTTTTGGTTAGCAGTCGTAGCTCTTAACCACTGTGCCACCAAGGCTCCAAGAATTTATAGATGGGTCCTAAAATGGTGTATGTTGTCAGGCAAGAACAGACTTCAGGAGACCAACTAGCTCACCTTTTTGCCCTCAGCTAAGGCCAGTGGCCTGTAAGTTGAGTGCTGGTTGGGAAAGTGCTTGAATCTGAAGTCAGAATACCTAGGATGTAAGTCCTGGGTTTCCATTTAATAACTGGATGATCTTGGGCAAGTCATCTAGCCTCTGTGTCTTAACCTTCTGTAAAATGGGGGGCAATAGTGTCTGCATTTTCTACCTTACATTCATATTGTGAGAATTAGATGAGATGGTGTATGTGAAAGTTATAAAGCACTAGTCAGTTAAATAATTTTAACATCTCAGCCAGATTTACATCTTTAGAGACTCTTTATGTGAAATATAAATGGTAATTCTTCTTGTTCATAAGAAAGTGTCACAAACTTAGAAATTAGGAGCTTGGGCTCTGGAGACAGGCTGCCTGGGTAACCTTGGGCACTTTACTTCTCTCTGAAGCCTCTGTGAAGAGGAGATCATATCCATCTCACAATATAGTCATGAGCATTAAATGAGATAATGTATGCACAGTGCTTAACATGTACCTGGCGTGGAGAAAGAAACTCAGTAAATGTGAGTGCTGCTATCATTCATTACTGATTTTATTAATGAAGGTGTGAGGCAGGGTAGTCCAAAAATGGACAGAGATCTGAGCTAGAAATCAAAAGGATTCACTTCTTTGAGCCTCAGTTTCCCTACCTGCACTAGGGTGAAAATCCATGCTTTTCTTCCAGATTGTCATGAAGTTTAAAAAAGCATATGAAGACTTTGAACTATTTGGAATTGAGGAACAATATAAATGCAAGTTAAAGTGCTTGGCTGCTAACTGAAAGGTTGGCATTTGGAATCCACCAGCTGCTCTGAGGGAGAAAGATGTGGCAGTCTGCTTCCGTGAAGATTTACAGCCTTGGAAACCCTATGGGGCAGTTCTACTCTGTCCTATAGGGTCTCTATGAGTCAGAATCGACTCGACTGCAGTGAGGTATCTACCTTTGGTAATGTTGTCCCTTTCATGGAAAAGGAGTCCAGAATTTTCTCAGTCAATTAAAAGAGATTTCAAATGTCAGATCTTGAATCAAATCCTTCAAACATGCAATAGTGCACTCTTTGCAAAGAACGCCTTTCTTCAGGAAGTTCCATTGCCTCAATTCATTCTGTATTGATTGTAATATTCAGCCAACTCTTCAATTTCCACTTTGTGTATTATCTGTTTTCAATATTTAATCCCAGAATGACCTCTCCTTGCCTCACCGCATGATCCCAGATTATCTCCTTTTCTCTGATTAGTTAGTATGTCTTCAGGGAATACCTTCATTTTAACATAAAACTGGGCAAAAACAGAAATAGAAAGATAAATCTGTAGCAAGATCAAAAATAGAATTCATCGCTAAATATAAATCTGGAGGGAATTATCCAATTATTTCAATGATCCCTTGATGCAGACAATACAGGGTTGGTTGCCTTTGCTTTTTCCGTATATAGAACAAAATGGTTGATAAATACCAAGCGTAATAATTTCTAATAGCACCTTAACTGCAGTTTTCTTTACTCAAATGCTTTCATATATATTATAGCAAGTGATTGTCACAACTGCATGCATTCTCTTTGGGGACTTTTCGGTGTCATTTTGACTTAGAGGTCAGAGAGCATTGAATTGGGAAGATCAGGATTTGCTAATGGAGTCACTGTACAAACTTGGGCAAGTTCTTCAGTCACTTTGTTCCTTCCACTCTGCTGAGGTAGAGACTTGGAATGGACGACTCTGAAGGGAAATTCCCTGCTCCTTTTCCGAGTTCCAATTGAATTTGCAGGCTAGCAGCTGTTTTTTCAGGTTGGATTAACACCAAGTAGGGACTTGGAAGCGTGGAGAAAGACAAATCTAAGTGTCACATGAGCACGCGAGCCATTAAGTGCAAGAACGTTATGCAAATCTCATGCAAATGATATGCAAACTTTGCATTAATTTGTAGAATCTTAGTTTGGCGGGTGCAAGCAACACTGAGATCCTATAAACATTCAAAAATAATGTTTTCAGGTTAAAACAGTATCATGCTTTCTGAAGTTAGCGCTTTCTCGTTGCTATCAGCACTCAACTGCTGAAAGTTTGACACCCTCTATCAGCCCCCATGATGATTTCACCAGTGCCTGTTTCCAGCCTACACCCGGTTCCGCCCCCGACCCATCAGCCTAACGTCACGTGACAATATTTGCATACTACCTGGGGCTGGGTGTGACGCTCCCCTTTTCTGCGTCTTCTCATTGGTGGCTCTGGAGAACCAGCCCTCTTCCAGACTGACCAATCAGTGACCTCTCGGACGTCGGGAAGCAGGCAGGGGGTGGGGTGGGGGTGGAGTTTTGGATTGGATCGCTAGGCCCATAGACCAATCATCCTTGGAAAAGGGAAATATAAGCGGCGGATTGGTCGGGAGGGAGTTCTTGGGGCTTCGTAAGCCAATGAGAGCTCTGAGCTGAGGGGGCCGGTCTCCGCTCCGTAGGGCAGATAAGCAGCGGCAACCGGGGCCCGGGGGCTGTGTGTGGCTTGCAGTGGGGCTGAGGCAGGAGGGCTGTCGGGCGGGCGATGGCGGGGGCCGCAGCGGGCGGCAGAGGCGGCGGTGCCTGGGGGCCGGGGCGCGGAGGGGCCGGGGGGCTCCGGCGGGGCTGCTCTCCCCCAGTCCCCGCCGGCTCCCCCCGGGCTGGGCTGCAGCCGCTCAGGGCCACGGCCCCCTTCCAGCTGCAGCAGCCGCACCAGCGCCGGGACGGGGGTGGCCGCGCAGGTGAGCCGGGCCTGGTGCCGGGGAGGTGGGGAAGCCGTTGGGGGAGGGGGGGCGCGTGATGAAGGGGGAGGGGGAAGTGTGAGGGGGAAGTGGATGGCGGCGAAGTAGGGAAAAGGGGCGCAAAGTCTGCGAGGTTGGAGGAATCGAGGGGAGTCATGAACGTGGGGTGCACCGTCAGGAGTCACTTAGGGCCGGGAGGTTGTGGTGGGGGACCTGGTAAATGGAGTCTGGCTTTGGGGGCGTAACCGAAAAGTAGGCAGAGGTGTTGTGTGGGGACTAGTGGAAGATGCAGGGGGTGGGAGCGAGGTGTGAGGGGGGAGTGGCGCGTGCTGGGGGGCGCCCTGCTGGGAGAGCTGGTCCTGGGAGCAAGGTGCGGGTGGGCGCTGGACGCCTGCATGGGGAAGGGGAGGGGCATGGAGGAGCGCCCAGTGGAACCATGTGTTACTTCTCCAACTTGAGTTTGGCCCCAGCATCCCTCTGTGCAGCAGAGGAGTTTCTTTCCCCACCACTTCACGTGCGCTTCCCTTTATGCCACCTCCTAGAGCTGATTTTATCTGAGCCGTTGGAATAAGTTAGATTAACGGCTTTTACTGCCTACAAACTCTCCGCTCCCGATTCCCCACATTCCTCTCTGTGTGGCCCAGAAGCTGTATGTGCCCAGATCGTTGACCTGCTTAATATGGCTGTCTCATTCCAAGCATCGCGTCTGTGTGTGTGTGTGTAGGACCTGGGCAGCTTGCTTCCCCTGCCCCCCCATACTTGCCACCCACCCATCCCCTCCCCTTTGCCCACTTCCCCTCACCAAGGTTGTTTTGGGCATTGCCAGTCAACGCAGCAGTGGGGTGAGGACGACAATCAGTACACTGTGGCAAATACCCCACTTTCTGAACAGCACTGAAAAGGTGTCTTAATAGCAGCTTGATGTGGTGGGTGTGGGGAAACTAGGGAGGAGCAAGCTTAACCTTGCTTTCACACTCAAAGCTGTGACCAGTCCCACAAACGGAGGCAGTTAGGAAAGGGAAAAGAAACCTACTTGCATGAGGAGGTTGGCAATAAGTTGAAAGTGAGGCTTACATTTGATTCACACCAGATGTGAACAGATCACTACACACTTGCAAAGCCTCAGAGTCTGTACCAAATGTACAAAAGTCGTGGTCCCTGCCATCTAACGGCTAATGGCATTCTCTGAACCAGAGTCTCTTGAGATTTTTGTGATTACTAAACTTAACTGCACATCTTCCTGAAAGTAGAGCTGCTATTGTGCCTGGCTAGGTAGGAATGGGATTTAGAGGGTCTCTGAGGTAGAAAGTCCCCAAGTCTCTCTGGACTTCACTGCAAATGTTAGCATCACATCTTGGAACTCAGAAACTTGGTCAAATCTAATAGCAAGATGGTGACCAAGTAATAAAAGTATGTGTAGAATCCGGTGGTGTAGAGCAAGGCAATGCCCAGACAAACACATCCCTATCCTGAGTTGTAAAGCAAACCACAAGACTACAAACCTGTAGGTTTTGTTTGGGCTTCCTTGGAGCCCAGGGAAGTTAGTAGAACAGCAAGCACCAGAACCTTAGTCACTTTTAGTAGAAATCCACAGAAAACCTGCTGCTGTAGTAGTTGGAAATCTATTAGCAATCCTATTTTAAGAGCTGTTATTTTGTGTCTATAGAACTAACATTAAAAGGGTAAATAAACACTAGAGAGTGCGGTAGAAGGGGGAAGAGTGTAGGTTTGCCTGCCTGAGTTCTTCAAATGGCCTGCTCCTTTTACAGGGCTCCTGAGATACTGGTAAAAACATAGGAAGCTAGGTCGCTGCTTAACTTGACAGGTGATTCAGGGCAAGTTGGGTGGACTCTTGCTCATGGATTGGACTCATCCATTATTCTCCACCTATTGGTATCCCAGAGGCATTAATATGGCGCTTGCCTGGTGGATAGCAGGATTAGCTGTAGATTTTCAGTGAAGCAGGAGAGAGGAATGGTAAAAGAAGGAGAGTAGCCTGAGCCTATGCAGTTCTTTGTGGCTAGGCATTAGGGGAGTGTACCTGGCCTTTGGTTTGGGAGCACATCAGATTTTCTATATGTTGACTTGAACCCGTATGTGTGTTCAGACTGTTTCCATTCCTTGGCCTGGAGAAGTGGCAGGAATGGCTTGTAGGCCAACAGGGTATACGTGATAAAGGGAAACCCCTTGCAATCATAAAACCTTAAATAGCGTGGCATTGGGAGCCAGAATGCCTGGGTTTCAAATCCAGGGTTCTGCCGTTCACTAGCTACTGGCTTTGAGGAAGTTACCTCTGTGCCTCAGTTTCCTCATCGGTAAACTGTGGATAATAATACCTACACCATAAGAATCAAACAAGTTAATAGATTTAAAGTGCTTAGAACACTGCCTGGCACATGGAAGGTGCTGTAAAAGTATTTGCTGCTGTTATTGTTATTCCCTCTCCCTAGCCAAGGTGAGAGGACTGTTGGCCAAAGCCCTTTGCCTTTTCAGGCTTCAAAGAGCAAACCCAGATTGGTCTGAAACCAGTACTGCAGGTTTCAGAATTTCAGGGCCTCCCCTTGCACTTTTATTCTCTCATCTTTTAAAATGAGCTTTCTAAACAGGGCTCTGAAACTCAACTGTTTAAAAAGGCATGTGAGCTGGGACTGGGTTTCAGGAACAATTCAGTGTCGTCACTGTTTCTGTTTCCCATCTCACAGTGATGTAACACTCAGAGCTGGGTGGTTATCTCCTCACCACACACCCTGTTGTGTTCTTGACAAGATACATCAGACCTTGTAAAAAGGGTCATGGTATAAAGAGTGGAATTTGCCTTTTGCGGCCATTCATCCATAAGGGATGTCTTCATAAAGTGAGGAATGGCTTCATTTTTATGAACCTGTACTAGGGATGAGGAAAATGTGGAGAGAAAAATGAAGGTCAGCTCTAAGAAAGCAAAGAGCCACTAGTGGGTAATAGAAAACCAGAATAAATTTACTGCATTTCCCCCTTAAATTCTCTCCTGTGTCGTATGTCAGTTGGAGGCTGCTAACTTTTATGTTCTGCCAGGACTACCTATGATAGACAAAATGCGGGACTAGGAGGTGACTTATTCTGGGTTCCACTCTTGCCTATCTTGTTTAATATCTCTGTCTCCATATCCCGAGAATGTGTTCTTCTTGTTGTGTGCCATTGAGTCAATTCAGACTCATAGCAACCCCATGTGACAGAGTAGAACTGCCTGATAGGGTTTTCTAGGCTGTAATCTTTTTGTTGTTGGTGTTGAGAGTATACACAGCAAAACATACACCAATTCAGAGGTTTCGACATGTAGCATTTAGTGACACTGATTACATTCTTCAAGTTGTGCAACCATTCTCACCCTCCTTTTCTGAGTTGTTCCTTCTCTATTAACATAAATTCACTGCCCCCTAAGGTTCCTATTTAATCTTTCGAGTTGCTGTTGTCAATTTGATCCCATATAGATAGTTCTTAACAGAGCATAATGCTCAAAGCAGACATGTTTTACTAGTTAAGCTAAGCTATTGTTTGTTTTTAAGAAGGTTTCAGGCGATATTTTTTGTTTAAGGTTTAAAGATTACATCAGGGCAATAGTTTTAGGGGTTCATCCAACCTTCATGGCTCCAAGAAGTCTGGAGTCCATGAGAATTTGAAATTTTGTTCTACATTTTCTCCCTTTTGATCAGGATTCTTCTATAGAATATTTGATCAACATGTTCAGTGATGGTAGCCAGGCACCATCCAATTCTGGTCTCATGGCAAAGGAGGCAGTTTTCATGGAGACAGTTAGCCACACACATTCCGTATCCTTCTTCTATTTCTGACTCTGCTTCTTCCTCTGTTGCTCCAATTGAATCGAGACCAATTGTTGTGGCTTTGATGGCCACTTGCAAGCTTTTAAGACCCCAGGCACTACACGATGAACTAGGATGCAGAACAGAAGCACTAAACATGTTATTAGGCCAATTAACTGGGATGTCCCGTGAAACCACGACCCTAAACCTCCAAACTAAGAAACCAAATCCCATGTGGTTTTTGGTTGTACATAAGCCTAGGCTGTAATCTTTATGGGAACACATTGCCAGGTCTTTCTCCCGCAGAGCCACTGAGTGGGTTCCAACTGTCAACCTTTTCGGTTAGCAGCCGAGTGCTTAACTGTTGTATGACCAGGGCTCCTTTCCCTAGAATGTAGGTAGCATTTAATCCTGTTTTGCAAATTACTTCTCCAGCGGACCAGCCCCTCGGGACAGTCATATGCTGCCTTCATACCTCCTTTGTCCACCAGCGCCTTGTTAAGCCAGGGGTTGGCAATTAAGCCCTGCAGGCCAAATCTGGTCCTCTGCCTGTTTTTGTAAATAAAGTTTTATTGAAACATAGCCATATGCCTTCATTTAGTTACCATCTGCGGCTGCTTTCATGCTACAATGGCAGAGTGAGTAGCTGTGATAGAAACTGGATGGCCCACAAAGCCTAAAATATTGACTCTTTGGCACTTTACTGAAAAAGTTTGCCTACCCTTATCTTAAATGTACCTGAACATTATTCCCATATAAAGATCAGTTTGAAATGTGTGTAATATATGCCCATCCTCATAAAATCCTACAGAGATCAAGAAAACTTAGTAGCCTGTATCCCCACTCAAATTTTAGGGGAGAAGGGGGTTCATCCGTTTCAGTCAATTCTCAGTCTTTATGGAAGATCAGCACATGTGAATCCAGGCTCTCCTCCCCCACCCCACCTCCACCACTGTCAGTTGACACGTGTTCAGTAGACTTAAACAAATTTTAATTTACATAAAAGTGTAACTGTTAGGTAAATTTGCTCTTCCTCCCCTTTTATGCCCTTTTATCTCCTGTTTGGACTTTCCTTGTTTTCTTTCCTTATTACCTTTTATTTTTCTGAACAGATCATTGAGAGCTGACAGTAGTTACCGTTGCCCTAAAATACTTACCACCCCACTGGGACATAGGAAGGGTAGTTTAAGTCAAATGTTGATT